CGCGACGGCACCACAGATATCTCAAGTTGGCAAATGCCAACCGAGCCTTCTGTATGCGAGCTGACACTTCATCCGTAATGCGTCCACCTGGTAAGATGTAGCTGCCCAAATAACAAAGCTTATTCACCTGCTCTATTACTTCCCCAGTTAGAGTGAGGCTGGGTGCTGGACCAACCCAGTCTTGTAGTAGCATTTTACACTTTGAAGGTGCAAAACACGTACCGAATATGGCTACACTGGCATTCAAGATGTGCAGAAAAGCTTGCAACTTATCTGGATCTTCACTTAGTAGCACAATGTCGTCTGCATATTCTGGATCAGACAGCTTACCACCTGGGAGTAAATCGATGCCGCTATCCCCGCACGAGGATAGGGCTGTTTCCAGAATTAAATCTATAACAAAGTTTAATAGAAATGGAGAGAGGACAACCCTGTGAACTCGAGTGAAAAAGTGCCGTGAGCTCGGACTCAGTTTAGGCTACTACTATAGGGGGATTGTAATATTGAAATAAACTTCTCAGGCACACTCTTCAGGGAAAGGCAGCGCCAGAGGTTAGAGCGGGTCGATGAGAAGACGCTCGAAATTTCAATTTCAAGATTCGATAAATGTCATACAACTAAGCGTTGAACAAATGCCACCATCATCATCATAAATGTTACTCGCTCAATGACACAAAGTTCAAATACACAATGCATTGTATTAAAAGATGTATTTTGCTAAGTAGACAAAGGAATCAGTCATATATAACCTGAAGTAGTGCTTGATTATCGGGCGAACTGTACAGAAAGGGATACAAAATGGATATGAGACAGAAGTGGTCCGATATCATAAGCATCACCGTACTACAGTGAATTGTAAAATAATACTGGGGAAATTTTAGCAGTTATCAGGGAAACAAGACTGATTATTAATTTGCCGAGCGAGGATTGATGGCAAACAGTCGCTAAAACACAAACATTTTCCAATCAAATAAAACTCTTAGCTGTGAAGGGAATCCCTTCAACTGAAAAATAATAAAGAAAAATCATCAAGTCTAACTCTGTATTCAGCCGGAGGACGAGCTAGATTGTCTAGTTCAGTTGACTGATCGTGCAGTACGGTTCACGTGTTTTTGGATCATCCGAAGCAGACCTATTGTCCCGTTTGCTACCAGCATAAATTAGACCACACAACGAGTATGGTGTACAAGCTTCGACTCAATAGCTAATTCGTGAACAAACGGTGCCCGAACGTCCGCAGGGAACAACAATCGAAATAGTCAAAGGGTTACAATTTAAAACAGTCGACTACGGGGGAAACATGATCCTCGCACATCAAATACTACATCAACCTAACCACCAGTGTATTACTCTACTAAACCTATCTAGAAATGATCACCTCAGAGTGCATCCATTTAAACGTTTACTCTGAAGGAGTTGGCTAGACTCTAGGCATCACTCTTTTAGCCTCAGGGTTTGTAATATCTGGAACTCTCTTCCAACTCAAGTTGTTTGTGCTCCAACCATCGATTCATTCAAGTCACGATTGGATAAAGCATTGAAACACCGGTGAGCGGACGTTATAATTTATTTAATTGTACTGCCAACCGAACCCAAAGCATGCAGATAGTATGGGATTCCATCAGCAGCAGCTTTGTAATTTACCCATAATAAAAATTGGAATTTGAACTATGTTACATAGAACAATAATATGAGGCCTCTTTTGTTTTTCAAAAATGTTAGCTGAAGCCAGACAAAGGACACCGGGAAGCTGTTTCAGCGGACTCATCCGCAGTGTGAACCACCTTTGCGTTCCCTTTTAGTGACGAGATACGTGATATATGTAGAAACGTGGCTCCCGTCAATCAAAGGGTATCTCGGCTGAGACGACAACTCGCTGGGTCACCGTCGGTGCTATCTCCCAAACGAACAATGCAAATTGGAACCAAACATTGATGAGAAATACGTCAGGGTTAACATACGGGATGAACGAGACTGTTTCAATTGCGAGCAGCTGTTTCACGAATCCAACAGTACACATGAACAAGTTGGCCTAGAGCAGAAACGGAGTTGAGAATAGCGAGTCGATTGCGACTGGTAGGGGGTATCTGAGGGTAACTTAGTCTGATAGGGCAAATAGAATGAAGGACAACAAACTTACCGCACCGCATTGCGTAACAACAGATAGAAGGCTGATCGTGCACCGGAGCAGAAACTTTGACCGTAGATAGATATCTACAAAGTGAATGAGGATAACACATGGCAAACTTATTAAGGCAAGGAACAATTTTGGAAGGATTTTATTTCGCCGGTTCGCCGAGCTTGGCAATTTTTGTTTGCAAACGTTTCATCACCGGCCGAGGTGACAACATCAGTGCTTCACAAACACTGATGATTGGCGTAGGTTTTTTATGCAATTTTAAGGTGAATTTCATTGAACGCGAAGCAAAAGCAAGGTGAACTGAAAGAATCCGAGCGAGTGTACAGCTGTTTGAAACATGTCAGGTCTTAATGGCAGAGAGAATGCACGAAATTCACTGAGGACTAAACTTGGTATCAAACACGCAAACGTACTTTCAAATACAATAGCTACCAAGTGATTAGACTGCTTCATTCGGGTTATGCACTGTATACCCGTGCAAAACTTTTGCCCATGACCACCTCGCTCATCTTTCCATTGGCCTAGAAAGATCATGACCGAATCGAAAACATTTTGAGCCTGATTATGCTTACTTTAGTACCATCTTGCGAGTGAGGTGGTAACTAGAAATCACATTTTTAGAGACGCATTGTAAGAAGAAAAACCCATGAAAAAATTTAATGGGTTGAAGTAGTAGGTTATTTTGAGTCAGTATTTTTTTGTTAACTGATCGATTAAACGACACACTAGCGACGACATTTGTACACTTGAATAGCCTCGGGGATTAAGCAGAACTGAATTCTACCAGGTTGTGGATATAGGCATACCCTCACCGAAGAAGGTTAGCTGTGAATCAGCTGTGGTATACCGCAACAAATAAGCAGTCGCGAACAAACAGCGGAGGCACTACCAGGGTGTGGTCGGTTTCAAACTGGTCACCGGGCTCCTGTTTTGAAAGCCGTATAAGCCCAATGACCGCGTCGTGACAGAGATCGATGTGACAGGGTCTTTAAAAAATTAAGTCACTGACCTGTTCACTTCCGAGGTGAGGGATTACTTCCAGCTGCCTTACAGTTCGCCTATTGGTTGTGCAAAGGCTAGATGTGCGCCCTCAAAATAAAAAGAAACCGAGTGACGCTGGGTACGTCTCTTGTACCAAACTCCCAAGGAGCCGGTTTATCCTTTCCAAGGAACGAGTCACAGTTAATTAAAGTAAAGTACCTGACGAAATGCGTCGCTACCGCTGTTGTACGACTGAGAATCGAAAGCCTATAAAGTGGAACAGGGGTAAGTAATCAGTAACAAAGGAAAACCATCTTACCGGATGAGGTTGAGAACGAAGAAAAACGGGCAAGAGACGGAAACACTTACCATAATGAATGCGTTTCGATTGAGGAAGCGTAAAAATTTCTCCAGACACCAGAAACAACAGCACAAACATCGTGTGAGGCATTGGGTGAAGCCGTTATCGTATTTCTTCAGTTTGGTCGAAATGTATTCCAGAATAACACGAAGCCATTGTAGTAGGGCTACCAACAACGAACCGAGAGCTAACGAACCGATGTGATAGAAACCCGCACGGAAGAAACTGCTTAGTAGCGGGCAACGGGGCATGCTCTTGGGATTGAGTCGAGAAAAATAGTAGTGTGCGAACGTGCCGGCCAGAGTCATTTCAGCCAGAGAACGGACGAAGTTCACGAGCCAGAAGAACATGAACAAATTGAAGAACTGTAAAAATATGGTGTATCTGAGTGGAAAGGCAAAACAAAAACAGAATGAGACAGGGACGGGTTGACAGACGACTGAGATCAGAAATCAATATACATACACAAACGGGTATCGAACCATCCGTGATAACAAAAGTGAAAAACAAACTTACTTACGACCACCATAGTAAAGAAACCTGCAAGCTTTTCCGGCAGATGAGTTGGACTAAAAAAAAAAGTAAAAACAAATGAAACATTTAAGAAAAACTGATCAAGATACATGGAAGGAGTTTGGTTATTAACTACTGAAAAACAACTCTTGAACACAATTAGCGGGACGCTAAACACAATCTGGGCTGACTGTAGTGGTTAGAAGAAAAATAATGACGATCGGAGCGACAATATTTACAAACCATTAGCAATTACACAACTGCTGTTAATAATGAAAACTAAGAGGATAGTTATACAAAGAAATCCTGAATCAATATCAGTATGATGTAATTTGAGTGTAACAAAAATGATTAGCTAAACTTTTCATATTGGCATCTGAAGCGAATCACAGACCAACAAAAAAAGGGGCACAGGTGAATAAAAACAGTACTCACTAAGGGGTCACAGGGAATCATTTGAACCAGATCTTTCAAATCTTTTCGCGCTTTATCCTCCCAATCCAGACGAACAGTTTGATTGGCTACTTCCACTCCGACCGGATCGGCCATGGAACGAAGTGAGACAGCGACAAACAATACCTGTGCGATAACCAGCAGTTCCAGAACCAGTGGGAGCAACGGCCAGAAAAGAACGGAAGTCATTGTACTGAGGGCTCTGGAAGAGGAGGTCAAAGCACGAATAAGACGATACATTCTCATTGGGAAAATGTCTGTTAAAATTGGTCGCATGCGTACTCACGGAAAGGATACAGGGTGACAGGACGCAAAGTTGTATGTGACATTCAATGAACTACCAGAGTCCGCTTTCATTGAATCGAACACTTTAAACCCTGAAAGAGACTCACTGATGCTTTTTGCGCATGCATTACACAAGTGGAACGCTCTTCCTAGCAGTTGATGCTAATTGACAATCCCTCTCTCTGTTTCATTCTGACTTCCACATAGAAACGAAACCTTCTACAAGCAATTCCGATCCTGGACGGAATGTGCCCCAGATCCCTAGATTGTCCCTCGTTTTTCACCGAGGTCCACAAGATTCGCATCTGTGAATGACAACACGAAAATAATATCTGAATGGCAGGTCAAAATCAATGTTTTACTATGGGAATTATTTAAAGCTTAAGCTTCTCTCAGCGCCATAGGATATTCACACAATTGGATCGTTTCTCGGTAGAATAATGATAAAGTGTTACATAGGGTTCCGGGTAGGAGATAACAGATATTATAGTCTTCAACTAACTTATTTGTTTTTCTTTGTCAAGTTGTGTAGGAATGTGAGACGTGCCTGGGTTTCAGCAAGTCTTTGCTTGAAAGATTCAACACTTGGTGCAAAAACGACGTGAGATGAGACGGTGTTCCAAGTACTGCACACTGTGATGACAAAAGATGGAGGCCGGCATTCCAGTCAACACTTTGAAATCAGAAGCTTGAAACGATATTGGGTCGAAATCATTTCAGAGAACGAGGAGTTCCAACCAACTTGAGCGAATTTTTCCCTGATACAATTTTCCCCAGTTAATTGTTTGGAAGTA